TATATGGTGTGCTTGGATAGTTGCCAAGTAGACCAAGCAATCTCAGGAGCCAAGGGCCACTGTGGCACTACGCCCACCAGCTCCACTCTTTCCTAAGAATCGGTGGGTTATTCATTCACCCCTCTCTTCCCCTACTAGATCAAAAGCTCCATTAAATGGACCAACAGTGTCTTTTTGAACATCATTACACCCTTTGGGTCTAGCACAATGCCTAGACAATAGCAACCAGTACTTGCTTTTGGATGAACTCCACACATTTAAGTCATTCATGATTAATGACAATGGCTCCTGCTTTTAAGAGCAGCTGAGTTGTTTTTTTTTTTTTTTTTTTCAGAGGCAGGCATCTACGTAGGACCTGCAAATGTCCGCTCCTCCCTCTCTCTATGCCATGAGACTTGCAACTTAGAAGATATAGCTCAGATTGCAGGCTACTTACTGGCATCTACTCACTCCTCGCTTAGTGAGACCCACTACAGCCGAGCAGAGTGGCTTATGAATAAAGACTACATATCCCAATCCCAGCTGCCCTAGCGGTCAGGATGGCCAAGTTGAGGATATCCATAGGAAGGTATCCCAAGGAACTTTGGGAACAGCATTCCAGTAAGGGATGGTCACATCCTTTACTTTTCAGTTTCCACTTCCTTCCAGCTCAGACTCACATGAGCTGGCGGGCACGCCAGCGGCAATACTAAACCAGGAGGTGACCTAGCGAATCTAAAAACTTTCTTTAAAACAATGAGGCAGAACTGGGTTAGTTCTAGGTCAGCAAAGGCCGTGGAGTTAGATCTTGCTCCAAAGATAAGCACTAAAAACAAAATGGCTAAGCAGAAAGATAGGCCTGTGCCCACTTAGTAACCATAGCGCAGCCATCCCAGCCCCGGACTTCCAGCTTCCCGATGATGACGACTCCTCCTTTTCCTCTTCCTCCTACTATGAGAGAAGACACGGCTCCTATGATTAGGTTTCTTTTATAAGAAGCCAAACACCCTCACTGTTGGCAGCCATGTTCCTGCTACCGAGAGTTAATCCCTCTACTGAGTGAGGAAGAGAGGTTCAGCCTCACCCATGGCTAGAGCAGCGACCACATACCCCTGGGTTCAGTATACTGATTCACACCAGGTTTCTGTCACTTGCAAATGAGAGTCCAGACTAAGCCTAGGCTGGCACTGCACACCTGTAGTCCTTCTGTGCATGAGGCTGAGGCAGGAGGTTCTCAACAGTGAGACCCTGTTTTGAAAATAGGGAGTCTAGCCAGACGGTAGTGGCACACGCCTTTAATCCCACCCATTCAGGAGGCAGTGGCAGACAGATCTCTGTGAGTTTAAGGCCAGCCTGATCTACAGAGCTAGTTCCTGGACAGCTGAGACTGTTACATAGAGATAACCCAGTCTCGGGGGGAAAAAAAAAAAGAAAGAAAGAAAAGAAATAAAGTAAAATTAAATAGGGAATCTGGCCTCATGGCTACAAGGAGACCTGTATGGAAACTCAGAACTGGACAGACCTTCAAGACAAGTTATTAATCTAAGATGCAAACAGCCAATATTTACAGAACCCTTACGAGGTGTTGGGCGGACAATGTCTAGCAATGTTACCTAACACGTCTCTTTTTACCTCCCAGAATTTCCACAGGTTGATACTACTATGTCCATTTTGCAGATTAAGAAACTGAGGCACAAACGGTGGCTGCTTCCAGACCACACATCTCATATTGTGCAACTTTAAGCCCCAGGTGGGGATAAATTATAGGGTATGGCAAGGTTCCAGTCCTCTTAACTGAAGCTCCTGTTTCCCACTAGCAAAGGCTGAGGCTCCAGGCTCCTGTGTGAGCTGGGGGAGGGGGAGGGGAAGAGTGGCAGGAAGACTGAGTCTGAGATGTGCCTGAGAAGCCTCTACTAGAACAGCAGGCCAATTACCGCTAGTCTCTGAGAACAGTCCAGAAAAGCCTAAAGCATCTACAACATTTCCAACCTGTGCAGGTGGAAGATTGGCATGTTCTGTTCCCACGGTAAACACGACACCACTGGTGTGTGCTGTGTGTGTGGGCAGAGACCGACGTGGGAGCTCAGGGGACCCGGGTTAGGACTGGCGGTGCTGAGTGAGTCAGCTGCTGCCGAAGTTTCTGGCACAACTGCAGCTAACGTCAGAGGGGGCTGGAGAGACAGGGCCCTGACACCCTGGCCTCTGCTGCATCTTTCCCCTGTCAGCATCCATCTCTCACCCACTAGCCTCGTATTCACCCGGCATCGGCCCACCTATCTAACCCACATACCGGTGACTCAGAGGAGGCTGTGTTCCTGGGGGTGGCTGATTGTCCCCTCTAAATTCATCACAGTCATCCCCTTCGGGGACAGACTCCATGCTTAAACAGCTCAGTACGTGGCATATCCCTGGAGAAGGCCAGTCATCCTGGGTGACTCAAGCTAGCCCAGTCAGACTGACTAGAAAAGCACTTAATGTCACCACCGCTGATAGAGTCTCTCCCTCTCTCTCCTGGATGCGAGCAAAGGAGAGCCCCACTTCACACTGGCATCTATCTGGAGACGGTGAGGAGAAGCAGATAGAGGGCAAAGCTGCCACTGCACCCCCAAAGAAATGCTCAACAGGCACCAAAGAATGAGGTGCCCCTCTGGAGCATGAATAATGTAAAATAAAAAGGGAACCAAGAGGCTGGTGGGACTGGGGGAGGCAAACAACACGGAAAGCTATCCCTACCACCTGTGCTGGAGAAATGGCCAAGCACATGGGGAGGTGCTACAGACTGAAGGACCCCGTAATCCTTTCCGCTTCCAAACACTTGGGGAAAGTCACCTGCGTGTCCAAATGTTTCACTAGTAGGATTCTCTGACTGCATCACCTCCAAGTCTATCAGTTGAGTGGGGAGCAGTAGGAATCAGGGAGTGAGAGCCTATGATAACATAAAAGACACACAGCTCTGGTCTCCAAGGAGCTAAGAGTTTATTCTGGAGTGCCTAGGTTACCCCAAAGTCCACATTCCAACATGACAACAGTTTTAGGAATTATTAGCAGTAACAGAACAAAGAGAATAGATAAATCAACACTTAAAATATATTCTTGGAGCCGGGTGGTGGTGGTGTACGCCTTTAATCCCAGCACTCGGGAGGTAGAGGCAGGCGGATCTCTGTGAGTTCGAGGCCAGCCTGGTCTAGAAGAGCTAGTTCCAGGACAGGAACTAAAATGCTACAGAGAAACCCTGTCTCGAAAATCAAATTGTAGGGGCTGGAGAGATAGCTTTGCAGTGAAGAGCACTGGCTGCTCTTCCTGAGGAACCAGGTTCAATTCCTGGCACCTACAAGAGGCCCACAAGCTTCTGTAACTCCACTTCCTAGTGATCTGGTGCCCTCTTCTGGCCTCCACAGATACCAGGCATAAAATAAGACACCAACATAAAGTAAATAAACAAAAAGTTTTTAAGTTAGCCAGTGGCTTAAAACATATGCACCTGGGGCTGGAGAGATGGCTCAGAGAGGTCAATTCCCAGCACCCACATGGTGGCTCACAATCATCTATAATTAGATTTGGTGCCTTCTTCTGCTGTGTAGACAAACATGCCAGAACACTGTAAAAATAAATAGATAGATAGATAGATAGATAGATAGATAGATAGATAGATAGATAGATAGATGATAGATAAATAAATAATAGGATTTAAAGACAAAAAATACACACCCGTGGAAGCACCAGGTGAGTTAGAACATCAGAGCCAGGTAAGAACCTCTGATGTTGTCTGTGACATCCTGAACTTGTGGGTTGTGGAAGCTAGTATATCCTAAAGGGGCTCATGTCATAGTCACAGGAAGTTAGGTTACATTGAGGATGGGCAATAAACAGCGACAGGGGATGGTTAAGGATAGCGATAGTGTCGGATATTTAATCGGGACCGGCACCATTCCATCCTCTCCACAATCACTAGGTTTTGATCCGTCCATCAGCCTAGAACGTTCAATGTAGATGTTTTGTTGTTGTTGTTGTTGTTTTCTGGGAACTTTACTTCACACCTATTCCAGCTGGTACAGGAGAGTAATTTATTGATGTCCTGCTTTGTGATCCCTTGATCACCTCTCAGGTTACCCTAGGCAAACAGCTGTGTCTGCTCCGTTCCGGAAAGGCTAGGCTCAACACCTACAGACGCGTGCCCAGGAAGGAGCAGGGGGTGGGGTCTCCATTCCTAGAGTGATGCACGGTGGCGATTCAGAATCCTCAGCAGGAACACCACCGCATCACCCTAGTCTACCTTCTGGCTGGCTACTTTCCCTAGCACCTACAGGGGTCACCTCCATCGGCAGCTGTGTCTCCCTAACAGAGGTTACCACAGGTCCCAATCCCCAAGCTCTTTCAAAACCTTACTGTTCCCTTCCCTTGGGCCTGGGAAAGCTTGTATCAGCTTCCCGAACAGATGCGGCTGACTTGGAATAGCCCAGCCGCTCATGGGACACTCACTGCTGGATACCACGCGCCATGCTAGTAGGAAGCACAAGCCACAGGAGAGGGGCTGTGCAACTAACTATTCGGGTTGACATCCCACCACAGCTCCTGCAGGACACTTGCTGTGTAGTTGGGTGGCCAGATTTTCGTTTCTTTTCCTCGTCCCCCCCCCCCAGCCCCAAACCCCCAGCGGACCTACTCTAGGGAGGTCCTTCAGTAACCACACCTACTTCTACTTCCTGAATATACTTTGAGGATTTGCGACACGTGGAACTTCATAGCAGAACCACACAGAATCAGCGCAACTCCAGAAAGCGCTGTGGCTAGTTCTTGTCGCTGAGCCCAGGGGAGCCCGCGGGGTAATTTAGAGCGATCCGTGGAGCAGGGCTGCCCAGACTTCGGCCTCAGCTGACCCACTCATTAGCTCCAAACTGTGTGTGGGGGGAGGATCGCGACATAACTTCTCTGTGCCTCAGTTTCCTCCTCTGTAAAATGGGATCTGACATAGTTCCCAGCTGGCAGGGTCGCTCGGAAGTATGAATAAGGTCACCACACTCCTGTTTTACCATGTGGGGGCTCCAGTTCCCAGGTCCCACTGAGAGCCAACTCATACTTGTTGGGCAGGTCCGACCGCCCGCGTCCTCGCCTCTCAGGGCCTGAGTCACCGCTTTGTGCGTCACGGGCGGCTGTGCTCTGCGACTTGCAGACTCACCCTGAGTCAGCGGCCGGACGCGTCCACTGATTGCATCGCAAGGGGGTGGCGGGGCGCCGCAGCAGGCATTTGGCAGCTGGGTCGACGTGGGACACCGAGCTTCCTCTCGGGCGGCGCGGAGGCGGGTACGCGCACTTGCAGGCCGAGCCACTCGGACCGGGAAAGGGCAGCGCAGTCGCCCCCCGCAGCCGCACGATGGTACAGTCCAGCTGGGTAAGGCGAGCTGGAGGCACAGGCGGCCAAATAGGCGGTATGGGGCTGCGCGCGGGTGGAGCGCTCCGCAGGGTGGGCACCGGTTCGGGGGCACCCGAGGGACAGGAACCCGGTGGCGCGCAGGGAGGCAGCATCCACTCGGGCTGCATCGCCGCGGTACACAACGTGCCAATCAGCGTGCTCATCCGGCCGCTGCCATCCGTGCTGGACCCGGCCAAGGTGCAGAGCCTCGTGGACACGATCCTGGTGAGCCCGCGGAGCCTCCGGGTCTGAGCGGGGAAGAGAGGGCACGAGGGTCGGGGTCCAGGACCTGCGGGAGCTCAGCTTCCCCCGTGTGACCTTGACGGGCTGACCGAGCTTCCCTGGGCCTCAGGTTCCTCACTTGGACTTGCCCTGAAAGTAATGACCCTGTGACGCACGTACCCAAAGTGCTGCGATCACCCGGAAGCTGATTTCAGCTTCTCAGATCAGCTCTGTGAAGTAGCTGCCGTTCCTCCTGTACCGAGGAGAAACTGAGGCACAGGAAGCTTGGGTTTTCTTGTTTTGTTTTTTAAGCAACTTACCCTAGGTCAAGCCCTTACCAGATGATACAATGAGACTTTAGACCCGGACAACCTGCATATCCTGACGTCTCTTCTGGCCATGACAGTCACAGCAGTGACATGGGTGTGTCTTTCGGGCATCTGGGCTCTTAATCTAAACTAGTTCATATCTGTAGTTTCTGTAGCTTCCCAAGTGGTTTTGTGCCCCTTGTCACTTCAGAGAGACCCATGGCCTCCTTGCTGGCTTGTCGTCTGTGAGACTGTCATCATAGCGTTTGTGACTCCATTATTCATTTCCTCCTTCAATCTGTTCCTAGGTCAGACACCCTCTCAGGGTGAGACTGTTCTTGCCTCTTGGCTGTGCTGTGTCCCCCAAGTGTGGACTAGTGGGGACAGGGTAGATCGTTCACGTGGATAGAGATAAATGCTCTGCACCTAGTGTTTGGGGGAAGCCCCTCACTTACAGCATCTGCCATTGCTCTGCTGGAAATACTCTTGAGGCTGATTGCCAAGCTGCCAAGGCGCCACCCACCAGCTTGCAGAACCCCTAGGTGGCAGAGAGTCTGCTGCTCCTGCCAGCATGAGCCCTCTCTGTAGGAGCTCCGCTTGGCTTAACGAAACGTTTTGCCAGTTCTCAAGCATAGTGCCATGCTCGCTCATCCTGTGACCTTTTTCTCTAGGAGGACCCTGACAGCGTGCCCCCCATCGATGTCCTCTGGATCAAAGGGGCCCAGGGAGGTGACTACTACTACTCCTTCGGGGGCTGCCACCGCTATGCAGCCTACCAGCAGCTACAGAGAGAAACCATTCCCGCCAAGCTGGTGCAGTCCACCCTTTCAGACCTGAGGGTGTACCTGGGCGCATCCACGCCAGACTTGCAGTAGAAACCTCTTGGTCACCCCACCCCTTACACATCAGCACCACCTTCCAGAGCCCAGAAGACCTGCGTGACCCCCAGCGGGCTGAAGCTGTAGCAGGGATATGTTCTCTTTATACCTAAGGAGTGAGGTCTGCCTCTTGGCACCTCCGCACTAGCCCCCAGGCCGGGGAAATGAAGGAGGCCAGTTCTCCTGTCTGTGAAGAGATATATTGTGACCTTGGCCCTGAAGGAGCTGGGTTGTGGAGGCTGGACTCCCTCTGTCTTTATCTTTAGTGTAGTACACTGGTACCTGGTTGTAGAGGAAACCTTGGTCACTGTGGCTGAAGTGAGAGAGGCCTGTTTTCCTGTAACCTGAGTCCTGGAACAGGTGACTCACACAGAATTGTGTCAGCAGCTCAGTGAAGGTGGGGTCTCCTCTAGGTAGTCCTTTGGCCTGGCCCTCATTGCTCCTTACTTTGTGGTCATAAAATGGCTACCGCAGCTCTAGGTATCACGTCTGTGCTTAAGGAAGAAAGCCACTGGACCAACTTCTGTCAGAAAGGAAAACCACTTTCAGAGTATCTATAGTTTCCGTGGCCAGAGCTAGGCACCAGGGCCACCCACAGTCACAGAGGGAACGCTGTCACAGCTGAGCATGGCTGCCTTGGTCATCGCTTGGAACTGGCACTGCTTCCTGCAATCAAATTGGGATCCCGTTAGCAGGAGAGGAAGAAGTATCAGTTAGCCCTTGCAATGTAACAAGCCATTCCCAGACTTAACAGTATTACCCATGATTCTGTGGGTGAGCACTGGGGGCTAGACTCCTTTGGGCTGCTCTGTTAGTATGGCCCGGTCCTGCTCATGAGCTGGGACTGGCTGGGCTGGGATCACCTTCATTCTTGTAACATGTGTTGGCTGGATTGGCTTGGCCATCCTTGTTGCCTCTCTAGCAGCTCAGCTCAAGTTTATTCCCAAGATGGCCTCAGAGTCCCAAGAATGAGAGTAATAGGGACAAGACAGGCACTGGAGTGGTGGCTCACTGCTAAGAGTACCTGCATGGTGACTCAAGACTTTAGTCCCAGTTCCAGATGACCTGGCACCCTCTCTGGCCTCCGTGGGCACCAGACACATGGAACACAGACATACGTGTACAAGCAAAGCACCCACATGCATAGGTTTTTTTGTTTTGTTTTTGTTATTGTTTTGTTATTTTTAGGTGACAAGATTTCTTTGACCCTTATGCCAGGATGATGTCACTGCTGCTAAGTTCATTCCTCAGATTCAAGGGGCGCAAATGGACCCCAGCTCTCAACGGGAGGAACTATAAAGAACACGGGGGCTATTGCACAGATGAATCTTGGTCTTACTCCTACCCATAAGCCCTCCTCACACAAAGGACCGTGCCAAGTCTTAGCCTTTAAGTTACTGTGCTGTCCGTGGGACCTAGAAGAAGTCATGGCATGGTGTCTCCAAGAGCTGGGTACCCCACCCTCAAGGATGACTCTAGCAGAATGGGGCATTCCAGGGGGGCTCCTGCAAAGTGAGAGTCCTGGAGGCTGAGGAAAGGTAGAGGAAGCAGCAAAGCAAGGTGGCACTTGCTGCGCCTCCCAGAGAGCCTAGTCACTTGTCACTCTCTGTTTCCCCAGTTCAGTAGCCAGGACAACAGCTTTCCTGCCCACTGAGTATCCCAGCCAATGAAACTGAAAGGAATAAAATGCAACATGGTGCTTGGATCGAATCTTGAGACCAAAAAGGGATGGGGAAGCGTTAGTGCGTCAACCAGGAACTTACTCTGTCTGGGTTTTAGTTATCCTCCAGTTTGGGCAACTGACTCCTGGGTGGGGGGAATGGGGCTGTGTGAAAAATGTATGGGAACTCTTTAGTCTGCAACTTTTCTGTGAATCTAAAGTCATTCCAAAATAAAAGTTTATTTAATTAAAAAGCACACACACAATAATGTAATGGCTTTAGCCCAGCATTTTTGGGTTTGTTTGATAGACCTTGCCCCTGGAGCTTCAGGTCTGGGGCCCAGGAACATGCATTTCTAAACAGTTGGGATCCCAGGAACACATATTTCTAGAAGGTTCTCAGGAACAGCTACTACTAAGGGAACAGCCAGGACTCTAACCAGATGATGCAGCTTGCTTCTTGGGCCGTGTTCAGGATACTTGGGCTCTGGAGCAGCTTGAGCAGGTACTTCCCACACCTGGCAGGAGGGCAGAGGTGTATGTGATTTTCCAAGTAGGCAGAGGGCCTCTGCAGCCCTAACTTTGTGACCAGAGTCAGGATGCAGAGGATGGTCTTGCAGAGTGCTGTACTGAAGTGCCGCTATCTCCAGGGAAGAAACCCTTGGGCACCTGCTGGACTGAGGTATCTGAGTCAGTACCTCAGATCCAGACTCTGTTTGGAGGAACCCAACCATCAGGCCCAAAGAGGTGGAGACACGGGTCGTTTAAGAAAAAACAGCTGGAAGCCAGGCATGGCCCAAGCCTGTAATCCCTGCGCTCGAGAGGTTGAGACCAGGATGACAAGTTCAGCATCAAGACCCCTGTGGGCAGCGAGTTCCAGGCCACCCTGAACACTTTAGTAAAATCCTACCTCCACATAACAATAGAAAGGGGTAAGGTTAGGGGTTGTCACTTGGCTGTTAGAGCACTTGACTGACTTACTGGTTCAGAGAAAGAGGCAGGACAGGGAGAGAAGGACTCTGGCTGTCAGTTGGTACTGAGCTGCATTTCCCTCCTGCACCAGCAAGTGGCGCTGCTTTCCCGTCCCTAGACTAGAGTTGCGTCTGGGGAAGACACTGGTGGGAGGGTATGGTTGAGGAAGGGATTGTTGAGACTGAATGACGTCTGGGTCAGGCCCTCGGATGCCGCTCATCCTGACTGCCCTGTACTTGTACCTTAGGGGTGCTGGGTTCCTCCACAGAGGGACACCCCTCCAAGCTGGGCCATGAGCATCCTCTGGATCCTCATAGTATCCCTTTCCCTGCCCTCAAAAATGATAGTGTGTAGGGGATGTCCTGGAAGCTCCTGAAGGCCCTGCAACCAAGCCCTCCACAATAGATTTAGATTTTCTCAGTTTTACTAATATTAGACATGAATTAATGGGTGCATGTCTGTAATCCCAGCATCTCGAAGGGTGAGGTAAGAATAGTCCAAGTTTAGGGTAAGCCTGGGCTACTTTATGAAACTCCCTCCAAATGCCTTAAAGATACTAAGAGCTTAAATAACTAAATATTTTCAGTTAAAACACTAGGAACAGTTTGAAGTCCATCATGGTCCTAGACCTGTTCGCCCCTTTGGTATTTTAGTGGAAACAAGTTCTGGCACATGCCCTTCCAGAAGTCTGCCTGCCTGCTGAACAGATAAATACACATTTGTGCAAGTTTAGAACACTTTTGCGGGGTGTGTGTGTGTGTGTGTGTGTGTGTGGTGGGGCCAGGGGTCAATGTTAGGTATCTTCCTCAGTCACTCGCCGGGTTGTTTTAAGGTTTTTCTTTCATTATTTAGAAGCATGTGTATGTTTGTATGAATGGGTGCAGGTGCCTGCAGATCCCCCAGGAGCTAGCTAGTGTCATCAGTGTTGCAAACCTCCTGATGTGGATACAGAGGCTTGAACTCGGGTCCTCTGGAGGAGCAGTATATGATGTTCTTAAGGGCTGAGCCATCTCTCTGACCCCCTCCACCTTATTTTTTGAGACAGAGTCTCACTATGTAACTGTTCAAATGCTGTCCCAGTAGGATCTTTCCCTGAACCTGGAGCTCACCCATTCAGCTAGGCCAGCTGGCCTGCAAGCTCCTTCTGCCTCTACCTCCCCAGCACTGGGATTATAGGCGTACAGAACCACACCCAGCTTTTTGATGACTTCTTGGAGAATTGAACTCATGTTTGCACAGCCAGCAATCTCCTGACTGAGCCATCTCTCCAGCCCAGTCTTTTCCCCCCGATATTTATTTATTTATTTTATTTTCTGTGTATGGGTGTTTTGCTTACATGCATGTCTGTGCATCACATGTGTGCCTGGTGCCCACGGAGGCTAGAAGAGGGCATCAGTCCTCTGGAACTGTATACAAACACTTGTGAGCCACTGGGAAGATCCTGGGGATTGAACTCAGGTCCTCTGGAAGAGCAGCCAATGCTCTCAATCACTGAGCCATCTCTCCAGCCCCACCCCCACCCTCTTTCAAAACACTGTTTTCAGAATGGTGTCTCTGGCACTGGCCACCGCCGGCGCCAGCAGGTGAACTCCCCTCCAGGACTCTCACACTGGAGTCTGCTCCATGGCCTTTTCCTGAAGGCCTTCCCCCAGCTGTTGTTCCCTTTCCTTTTATTTTCTTCATTTCTTGCTATGGTTCTCTTGGGTTCCCGCTGATGTCCTCCTTGCCCACTGGGATGGAAATCGTGGCGGGTCTTCCCTGCTCATCACCCCAAGCCCAGCACTGAGAGCAGTGCCTAGCACCTTAGTAGGTGTTCTTCAGACAGCTGTTGAGCAAATACATCCCACATGAGATAGGCCATTCTTTTTTATGACTGCCTGGTGTTCCAGGGTATGAATATAACCATGTACGTTCTCCTGTTAGTGTACCCTGGGGAGCCCATTGTCCTCGTGTGCAATGTGTGATCCCCACATCCCCTGTTGTGTTCTGTCAGCTGGACACCTAAAAACACAAGAGCCTGGTGACACATAGCCTCCTAAGTAGTTTCTCCTTATTAGTGACCTCTCCAGAGGAGACGATCCAAATGCTACCCAGACAGAGCTTGGGGACTCTTCTTCCAAACTCCGGCCCGCTCTTGGACCATGATCATGGTTGAGAACAACAGAAAGCTATGAGCCCTTGCCCCTAGCCAGGCAGCTCAGGATCACTTGCAATTCCAGCTCCAGGGGATCTGATGTCCTCTTCCAGCCTCTCGGGCACCTGCACTCAAGCGCACATACTCACATACAAGCATACATATAATTAAAAATAAAACACAATATTTAAAAAGGAAAATTCATACACTTTGGGCACTTGCTGGGCCTCCCTAAGCTTGACAAGGCAGTTGGCAGGGGCTTTGTGCCCAGCACTAAGAGCTTGTCTCAGAGAGAGGCACCTGCCTGCGCAGAGGTGGGGTGAGGGGCTGAATGAACGCTGGTGGCCAACTACTAGGTGAGGGTACTCAGCCCCAGCCAGCCTGCAGTTTGAATATCCTCCCTGGGTGGTCCCTGCACTACTGCCCTGGACCCCAGAGCACCAGGCTTGGATGGGGTCCTAGTCTGGGTCAAAGGGGAACTTGGAGAGGCGATGACTGCCCTGATCTGGAAGGAACCTGGGAGACCTCCAAACTTCGTGGTGGGGAATATCCACCACACCTGTTTCCAGGTACGCCCTGTTGTAAAGGATGCAGCCTAAATTTCCAGCCCTACAGGCAGCCCTAGAGGTGGGCAGGACGGAGATGATTTTACTAGATGCACAGATCGGAAACTGAGTCCCAAAACAAGCAGCCACCTGCCTGGGTGCTCCAGCTGGCTCCGCCCTACACGGGGGCCCAATGAAGGCTCATGCCCTTGGGGCCCCATCCTGAGCCTGACCCCCGGCTTTGCCTGGGAGATGACCTCAGCTGCCGCCAATCCATTGGTTCCAGCTCCGGGGGGAGGGAAGAAGAACAAAGCACGCTTTGTGGCCGGCTGTCCCCCTCCCCGGCGCGGCCGCCTCCGGGACCCCCTCCGGAACTCCCGGCGACGCCCCCCGGCCGACAGCCGTGTAATGTCTTCCAGGCGCAGACTCTGCACACAGCCGCGGGGCCGCCTGCGGGCCGCCTGCCTGGCCCCTGCCGTCTCTGCGCTGAAGGCTGGAGCTGGATGCCAGGCAGGTGTAGCCACCTGACAACTGAATGCACCTTGGGGTTACGGTTTGGGGTGAGAAACACTATAATTGTTCATGGCGTCGCTGTGGCCGCCGTTTTGCTTTGTGGCTATCCCTGGGTTCCAAGGTCTGTGCCACTGACTAGTTACTAGCTCTTGTGAGCGTCATCCCGTTGAGAACAGAAAGAACCACTGACTGGGTGCCTACTATGTGTCAGTGGTAGTGTGGGGTTCTATGGCTGTCTTCTGCCTTGAAGTGTCAGGGTCACCTTGGCAGAGGTAATTTTACCGCTCATTTAACAGAGGAGAAAACCCAGTCTCCAGCTGCCCCGGACATAAACGAACCTCTCTGAGTCTCAGTTTCCTGTCTATAAAGGAAGGCCATGTACAATGATATTCCCCTCTTCCCCCATGGTGCTTCTATATAGTCCCTGCTGGCCCTCTTGCTTGACCTGTCTCAGCCTCCTCAGTGCTGGGACTACAGGCAAGGACTACCATACCTGGTTCCTCTTAGGTTTTTAGAACTGTATTTCTTACCTCTCTTATCCCTGCTCTGATGAGCACCTGCTGGAGGCAGGTGCCTGGCCTGAATGGGTCTATCCAGAAACCCCGATACTTTTAGGACTTTTTAGAGGGGGCTTCAGCAGCCCGCAGACTTATAGAAAATAAAGAGATTCTTCCCTAACCCAAAGACCTCTCCCCTAAATAGCAAGTGTACAGCTTTTTTATGCTCTAAACTGTGGAAGGGCATGGCCTGCCTGAGGCCTCTGAGAGGAATGGGAAGCGAGGCCAAGGCTTAACCTGAGGAAGCACCGTCTTCACCACCCAGGTGATGCCTGGCCGTTTGTGCCAGCAGCCAATGGAGTATGATCAGGATCTTGGGTTTTCAAGGAGGAGCCAGGGGCTTGCCTGTGGCTGGGATTAGATCCAAGGAATATCGTGGCATGAGCCTCCGTCGGCAGCTAGCGCCCTAAGAGACTCAACCAAACACAGACACACAGTGGGGCACAGTTCCCAGGAGCCCAAAGGGTGGGGAAGGTAAGAAATACGGCTCTAAAAACCCAAGAGAAACCGAGAATGGTAGTTCATGTCTGTAGTCC